CGATGAAATAATTCAAAATCCGAAACGGAATAAAATCAAAAATCGCTGTTTTTAGAATGATTGCATGAACGAGACAGGGAGTTCGTTCTTGAGATCATTGCGAGGAGCGATTTATCGAAAGAAGAGTCCATAGAATAATGATACCGAAAGGTAGAACAGAATACTACATAAGGATATTGTGAACAGGTAAAACATCAGCTTCCAGAATCTAAGTTCGAGAATGTACATTATGTTTTAAGTTTCTTTACTGGATATTCAATGGAAATTATAGAACGATTATTGATAGACCCCGGGGAACCTCCCCTGGTTTTAACTCAAGAGATTAAGGTTTACGTCAGCATCTCAGTGGATTTAGGATGATGTTTTGTGTCGATTGGAGTCATCTGCGTTTTCAAATCTGGAAATATACTCGCCTTACTTTTCACGCTCTGTAGTGAATATGAGAAAACAATTTTTACTTGTTATCAAAGATATCTCATAGCTATTGATCACAGTTTAATGTGAATCGACACAGCATTCATTTTTTTATCAGCGATCGATAAACCAGTTTGCGAATAATTGTGTGCTAATATTGTTTTCCAAATACAACATTCGAATGAAGCGATCATGTAGTTTGCGCTGTTCCTCATAAAACTATCCCCTTTTGATGTATATAAGAGTTATTCGTTAGAATCCCCGCTTGAACAATGTTTTTGTTCGTAGTTCGTCAAATTGGTGTCGGTTAAAGCAAGCATGATGATGCGAGTGCAGTTCTTTTCACACCTATGATTGAGTCGTATGATCACTATACTCTTCAAATTAAATAGGTTTACAAGAATGTTATTGGATTATTCATCGTGCATGTTTGATTCTCGGTGCTCTAAAGAACAAGCCTATTATGCATGACCCATTTCTTTTGCCAGCAACATTGCAAGACTTGAGTCGAATCTTTTATTCATGGGTTTCGGATTTGAGGGAAATGTAAAATTTTATGGAAAATGGAACTTCGGTTGAGATTAAATTTGTCTGATGTTATTCAGAGTTGAAAGCGCACAGGCAACAGTCAGGCACCCTATCAAGTTTGCTTTAGAGTTGAAAGAGTTACAGTGTTCACGTGAGCTTGATCTATATCGAATCACTGAACGCCGGTTTTCACAACATCATGCAGTCACGTGATGAGTTGATTGACTTTAGAATACGCAGTACGCAAGTTAAACAAGAATCATGGTGGCATCGCATTGCTTTACTAACCGTCTTGAGCATATCCGTACACCTTTGAAGCCATGTGCGAAAAGGACAAAGGCAAACTAAAATTAAAATACAACTGAAAGAATCGGAGAAAGTGTTTCACACATGAAAATTATCGTACTTTCCTGTAGATATAAAATTTTGCGAAGTAAAGAACAACAGACTCTAATTAAAATATATACGGCTTACCAGAAGACAATAAACCGTATGAATGGATGCAGGAGAGCGCAATTGTGAAAGGTGAGTCTATAAAGAATGAGGTGCTTCAGAATGAAGCTAACCAGTAAGAGGGACAGGATCTCAAATGGGTTTCACAAGGACCAGAGAGAAAACACGTATTGGAATCGTGAAAGAGCGACTTATGAAAGCTATTCCATCAAGGTGTTGTATCTCATGCTTTGCCTTTGTGCTGAACTCGAAACTATACAACATTCATCCTTCTATTTTAAGACCAAAATGCAACTAATAGTAGGGAGAGTAATTTCCGCTGGCCAGTGCATCGGCACACTTGAAAATCGGATTATAGTTTGTCTTATAGGGAATCTTGGATAGTTTACTTCGCTTGATTCAGTGCTTCATTCAGACCTGGTGTCGTCAAATGATAAAAGTAACGTTTTGAAATGTTTTAGAACCCCAAATATCACTTAAGCTCTGCAGCTTTGTCACCTATCTGTTTTTGACATTGGAAAGGTAATTTTTACTACCGTTTTAGCTGTTTCACTGGTAATTCACCTTGAAGATTATTTACTTGCGTAGCTTGATGATTATTTTATATTGTTTAAATGAGTATGAGCTTAGTGAAAAGTGAATTGATATCCATATTGGCTAGCTGTTTATTTGGAATATCTCTTTGTCACGTTGATAAGTAGTCAGCTGCGAATTGGAGGGCCGGACACATTCCAAATCGGTTGGTGAAATCGATACCGCAACCGATGAACTGACGAACGAGAGGAAACCGTGGATTTCGGTTGCAAAACAAAAAGACCCAGATAGCGCACTCGCGCCTGTCACATCACCAGTTGTTAACTGCAATGTTCAAATTTTAGCATTAAAACATGGCTTATTAGAGTGCATAGTAGGAGTTTACGCGCCCAGCGGTTTGCAATACAATGAATCCATTTGCCATGGGATTGGCCTTTCACTTCTATTTTTGGCAATACTTGTACACGTTAGTAGCCAATGGTTAATAAAACCAATGTGTTATATATATACCATCATGTTTTGAATAAGCGCATGAGGGATTAAATGAAATACTAACATTTTATGACATGTTTACTCTTTCGGTATTGACACCATGGTAAAGGAGATCTGATATATCTCTCTGTTGATAATGAGCGAAGTTGAAAACTGTCCTTGAAGCTGTATGAGGTAATGGTTTACTGGTTTAAAAACTGTGTTAATTAGTTGGCTAGTTTATGTTTTGGTAAGTCACACATGGGAAACATGTGTTTCAGTGGAATGCACACTTTTTCGACTTTGGAAATCCATAAATCTTTGGTGCTTGACTTTTTCCCGGTCGGAAGTGTTCAACCGTCGATTCCCGAATGAGTTCTGGTTATGCCAAGGCTTTTGGGCTGCAATTTATTTTCATCTCCAGTTCATGTAGATTGCTGGAAACTCGACAGATTTTAAAATTTCTGCCATTTTTCATGATCGATAGCACAGGATTGCTTCTCTTTGCATATACCAACCAAACTCTCACTGGATTATGTTTGTTCAGTACCCCCAATTGAGCTTCTAGCACTAGTGTTTGTTGCCGCAGTGGTGTTGTTCGGTATTGATGTTCTATGTTCACCAGTTGTGCTTAGAACCAACTGAGGGCATCTACGTTTTATTTTTCAGTTGGTAAATTATCGTAAAACTTCTATCTTGCTACGCAAATCGATTAGATTAGATTTCGGTCCTATTCAGTCAAAAATATGATTCGCCTATCTCATAACTGATCACTGGCATCAATAATCTCTTGGATCACAATGTCTGTCTTTTGTTTCGAAATTGTGCCCTGTTACTTCTTTTCCCGATTGTTTCTGTCAAATGCGCTCTACAAGATTGCTTTTGCATCAAATTTTCGTTCAATTTAATATCATTCTGTTCACGCAAGCTTATAAACAAATAAACTCCGGAGAAGTGAAACGTCGAACTGCGATTCAACAGAACTGAACTAATTAGCTGATGCTGGTGAGCATAAAACGGACTTATGTGAATATGAATTTATATACTTAAAATTTTCACCTTATCCAAATCTAATAATGAGCTTCCTAGATTGCACTCTTTATTTCATTTTGATGACTGTTGTGGATTGGTTGCTGTATTGTGTGCACGAGTTGGTGCTTAATATATCTCAATAAATAATTATTTATGAACTTACTACAAACGAAGTTTGATATCTGTGTTTTATATACAACAGTAAGAGCATCCTAAAACATCAAGGGACTGGAATTATTGGCTGAACTCGCGTGATCCGTACACAACTTTGCGACTAGTTCACATCAGATCATCAGTAGTAATTGCATTATCCAGGTGTGCTGTTTCTATTAAATTACGAGAGACTGTTCATATTATTTTTTGTATGTAGAAACCCGCATTGTTTGGCACTGCCTACTAACTCCAGTTCGTGTCTATGTTCGTGTAACACCACCAGCCGACGATATCATCAAACGTTTGCCTAAACTAGCCCGGTCAGAATGAGTTTAATATGATATTCTGCGCATGCATACCACAGTTGATTTAGACCAAGCTCCAATTTCGTAGGTCTCACTAAAATGGAATAGCAGAATTGGATTTATAGGAAACGAGGTCCTATATGAACTTATAAAATGGAGGCAAATTTAACAGTTTAGTTTTAAGCACACTTTGGCACAGAAATACGATCGGGATAAAAGCAATCCCGATAGAAGCATTTATCCAAATCACCATAGTATTCAGTATTTCTTTGTGTGGATTACTCGAACAATACTGTACATTTTGTTTCACGCCATCACGTTCAATTCCATGATTATTATGCAATCTTATTGTTGTCTGTGACATAGGTGAATGATTGCTTGGTACCGCAGATGGTCGGTCGTCATTAGCAAACAATCACGGTTCCCGATCTTCTGAAGCTATCCGCTGAGCAACATAGCTTTAGTTGTGGTAGGTTAGCTGACGGATGGTAAATTTCATTCATTACTACTGAAAAAAGTGGTGAAGGATGATTTATTGGAATGAAAATCCATGTATATGTGGACTCAACTCACCATTCAGAACGGCACCTAACTAGCTGACCTGTCACGATTCCTTGCAACAAAAAAATCTGTTTCCTGATACACTTTTGGGTTGAAGACTTTAAATGCGTTTAGATGTCTGCCATCTTTGACCTGGCTTCACAGCGCATGACAGTCAGAGATTCGGTAAGTCGGTTATTTACACGACTCTAAGTTGCGCTGAACAAATGTTCTGGCCAAGTACCTCATCGGTTCTGTATAAAATGAACTGAGTTTGAAGAAGACGTCCTATATACAGGCCAATAAATAACTGCCTTCAACGGACACCACACCGTACAGACTGTTGTATTTAGGCTATCTAGGTATATATTGGATAGAGTACCTGCAGGAGCACACATGATCCTAGACAATGTTTCTCTTTTTACATCAAGATTAGCATTGATTTTTACTATCGAAAAAAAGTCCGCGAGAGGAAGGCCTATAATATCGGAGTATGGGAGAAATCATTCACGTTTCGCATGTAAGTACATCTTCATACATAATCCACCATTTGACTCTCGTTTCCTTCAGGTTGATAAGTAGCAAGGGTGTTATGTCACAAATGGGCGAACAATCCCTGAATCGAACCAAAGGATCAGCTTCGGCAAGCAGTCGTAGTCCGGTGTCTGCCTTGAACGATCGCCGTCCTCGCCCTGATTCTGGATACAGTACAACGGGCTATTTCGGCGGTGGAAGTGGAGGTCAAGACACCGATAATTTTCACAGAAGCCCGCACACGTCCCCTCATTCACCTAAATCCATCCTCCTGATGTCATCCAGACCTCACGGTTCGCCAGGTTCTTCGAAGCGCAATAACGCGGATCCAGAGAGTGGAACCAGTTCATCTGATCAACCAAATGAGGCCCCTAGTTCTCATCGAGCTTCTACCTCAACGGAAGAAGACAATTTGACAGATAATGTTGTTTCTCCTTCTTCAAAGAGACGCGTGAGTAAACCGAGGCTAACTTGTTTATAATGGTTTAACCAAAATTATTTCGGTGGTATTCCTTTTTCTCAGCGGCTATATTTTTCATCAGTACCATAAATCTATTCCAAAAAATAAGCATAAATTTTTGTGATGTTGCATCACGAAAAGTAAGTATTTCGAATTCATCCAAGGTACTCATTTTATATCCATTTGTCTTTACCTTGGTGATCACTTGCTATAGATAGGGATAAGACTCTACAGCTATTGACTTATTCATAGTAGGGTTTCAATATTTTTAAAGATAACAAACAGTGTGGAACAACTGTTTCGTCCTTTCTAGGCCCCATCCTCATTGTGTACCACTTTTGTAATCCAGAAAAACTGGAATGAGAGTGAAAGCCTTCAGCTTTGAACCAAAGGATCGGTGACCAGTACCTGAGTGTATGGTTTATTTGTTTTGTCCCATGGACACAGAATCTCTCTGTGTGTATGGTTGCTCTCGCGCGCGAAATAAGTGCACTCCCTAGGAGTGAGGCCCACATGAGAACACTCACGTGCTGAAATCGGGTCTGTGACATCACATTAGATGAAAGGAAAACGTCGTCAAATGAATCTTACTTTTTAAGCTCAGTGCCAGAAACTCTAAGACTAGTTATTGCTCCGTCATGTCATTTTGCTACGGATTGGTCGATCACACGTTTGCATATGCAAAACTCCAAAGCGTGGAAACTGAGAATGGCTTAGAGGCTCGTATTTCAAAATGAATCTTCTTTCTCGGTCAAAATAAAATGCTAAAACTGTGATGCAGTAATGCTATACTAAAAGTACAAATGTGGTAGAAACATATGACCGAATTCACTTTAAATGGAGCTTGACAGTTTATTTATAAACGTTTCATCGCCAGTCGGGGTGACATCTTGAGTGTTTGTGAAATCACATTCTCGTGGTTTCTGAATCAGTTGTGACAGAATTGTTATGTTACAGAGCAACGGTCGTTGATACTGCTTAAGTATTTTGATTAATACAGTGACATGTTAGCACATAAAGAAACACGATATGTGACCGGAGCAGTAACTAAAACATACATAATGAAAGAGAAAGACCACATCATGGTAATGACATGAGTGCACTATTGTCCTTGCCTGCAGCAGATCACATTGTGGCCATGAGTATGTAATATTTTATTTTAAAGCATTCTGGCGAACGTGGAAATGCAGTTTTTCAATCTAAATAACCTATAACCATACACTTTGTTGTGAAAGTTTATCTTGTTGTCATTTGGCTGTCAATTTGGATGAATGAGTAGAGAGAAGATTGGATTTTGAAACTAGTTTTAATGTGGAGACATAATTTCAAGTAGCATTTGTTTGTGACGAAATCGGGTGAAAAACCCAGCGTCACTGCTTGCGGCACTCATCCGTGTCGCTCAGTTTCTGTAACCGTCAGGCTGTCTTAGTTTGATCTCCCTTGACTGGCTGTGGGACCAAATGCAACGACATGGCGTTCTGCTTTGGCGGGGCGCTAACACAGAAAACTGAAACCTGAATTTAAATTACGAACATGTTAAAAATTGACCGGTTGATCATTGCAGCATTATCAAAGTAGCAAAACCATGAAAAGTACTGAAATGAATGTATTATGCAAACAAAATCACGTGGTGCTCAATAAAGCGTACTCATTAGCAGTTTAGAATTCTGAATGTTCTTTCTGCCTTGATCGAACAATAACAATGGATGTTTGCTCATTGGATAAAACCACTTACACTGAAACAGTTTTATCGGTTTTCTGCATAAGCACTAAAGGGTAAACTATTTCTATGACACAATATGCAAATTAAGACCCAACGGGTTTGAACTTGTTTCACATCCGACTGAAAGAAAATTCAAATTATTTTACATTCCTCAAATATGTAGAAAACAACGAGATCTTCTATTTGTACATGCATGTTTCTGAAGAAGCTTATTCAAACCGGTTTTCCTGGAAAACGTGCCACTGCAGGTGGGCGTTACCGATTCAAATGCTTTCCGAAATTGATTAGTTGAGTTTAACTAAAAATTTAGTCTTTCCGGAAACAATTTCGTGGTTTATGAAAATATTTTCTCAAGGCCATTCTATGAGATTCTATCTGGTTACTGAGTAAAGAACATGGGCACCTACCAGTTATTTTGGCAACTAACTTCAGTTGCCTGAATATAGGACACAACATTTACAACAACTTGTACACGGAAAATTTCTAGAATATATTCAAACTGCCAAAGGTTTGCAGCTCATAGAAAGTGTTTTGACCAGATTTAGTTACATGAATAACGGCGCGATAGTGAATTGGATAATAACTGTGTCCTCAAAAGAATGCCTCCCGAATTTGGCCATCTTATTTTTGGTTTGATAATAGGCAAAATGAACACCAATCCTCTTTTGAAAAAGTGTTATTGGGAATTATGTAATCAGTCGTTTTCCTGTCCTCAACTTCGATAAGAAAGAAATAGAAGTTAATCATCACGGATGGCACTGTGTTAGCCTACTGCTCGAATCTTATGATTGTTTGACAGATTTAACATAAATCTGTGGGTTTCATTTGCGTGCAAGTTGCTTATTGTTACACGTCATTAACTAATTTTTTCACTGTTTTATTCTAGAATAAACGGCAACAGGCCTTCTAAACAGATGTAAACTATCATTTTCAGGGTTAAAGAACCTTTCCATACTCACTTTATTGTCTCAGTTTATTGCAATCCAGGGTTTTTAATCATGATCAATGGAATTAAAACAAACCGTATTTCTAACACTTCAAGGCTCCCAATGTAATATTTTAGTGAAAGCTTCCCCATGATATCCGTTCTAACGTGAAAATGCGAAATTAATCTGAGAGTACTATCTTGTTTGGTTTTAATGAAAAAAACAGTAAAAACCATCTAACAAACTCTTACTCGATGGCATAAGTTTCAATTCTTGCAGTGATCCTGCCGGATCTCCTCCCTCCTCTTCCAACCCGTGTTATTCAAGTTTTTGATTATTTCAACGATATTTGTTTGTGGAATTTTTGTTTTACCCTCAATAAACTGCAAAATCTTTACAATATCCACATACGTTATCCACAGATTGGTTGAGGAGCAATTATCCAGTATATTAATGTGTACATTACAATAAGTTATAATAAATGACTACAGACACTATTTCGCTGGAAGCACACAACCGGTTTCGCGTTCTTGTCGCTCGTTAGGATTACGTACCTGGCAGTCTTTCGTTTGTTCATTCGTATACTTATCCCCAAGAAGTGTATTTTTGACACACACACCACCTTTGCAACACCAGGTAAATTTGTTTAGACAGTTTTTCCAGGACCAGTCCATTGATGAATCCATACTCCAATAAGAAGTATATGAATGGCTAGACAAAGTCAAATCATAGTATTGGTTTATCAATGGACCTAAAAGAGCTGTCCAAACAAATATACCCGGTGTTGCAAATGAGGTTTTGGGGCGAATTTATATATATAACGTTATTTTGATACCATATCTGTATACATTTGTGACATATTTCGTACTACATAACATCATCATCATCATTACTAGTGGTGATATAACACGCCTGTGTTCAGACTGTGCCAAAGAAATCACAATACAATAATCTTTATAAAAAGTAAAGAGATCCATGATTTAGTCCAGGATAAGATACTGCTAAGTTTCACAGGCCAAAGCAGGTGAATGTTTGTAAGATTTTCACAACTGAAGCCTTTGGTCACCCAAAGCCTGATCGCAGGGCAGCGGAGCGGTGTGTAAATACCCCAGTGTGTACACAAAACCTATAAAGACGTGCAAAAATCATCTCACTTATGAGCACAGAATGAAACCATAATCTTCCAATTTTGAGTAATATCAAAAGATAATTTTTGTTTGGTTACTGCACGTAATTATGAGGTTTTATTCCATTTTGGTTTACATTGCGGTCAAGCAAGGGCTGGTTGAGGTCGGAACTTTGATTCAGCGCCATTTTTACTACCATCTCGAGCCTGTTTTCTGGGATTTCTTGCTGAGAGCCAGGTCGTTAATCATTGTGTTGATCTTTGTTTTCTAATCTGGCCCAATGTCTACAAAATGAAGCACCATAGTGCAGATTTTATCTGAGAATTATTGGAACATACCGCAGTGATTTAAAATGGTTTGTTGAAGCGATTTGACACATACTACAGTGAACTTTGTTTTACAATCCGATGTTACTTGGAAGACTGGAAAATTTCTAAGCTTTGAACATCAAGTGTCGATAGTTTGTGATCAACGTTTCCAGTCAAGCCCTTGACTGACTACTAATGTCTAGTCCCCAGCTGAAATCAGGGAACATACGTTCATTACGTCGAGAAATATCTAACTTCATCAACAGACTTGGCTATTTATAGACATTTTTAAAGGGGTTTGGTAAGCTTATCCATCAGGGGGTGCAAGGCGTTCTTCCTGCAATACTGAAGAAAGTTTCGCGTAAGCGGAAAGTTCACAGTCTCTAACTTGAACGTTTGTGGATAATTAAAATACTATTATAGTTTCTTTTACTCGTAAAATTCGCTGATGTTCTACTGAGTTTTTGCAAAGTAAGTGAGCATTCTACGTGACGATGGGATGGTAGTCATAATTCACTGTGAATGTTGATGTCGTGGTGAAAAGGGGAGGGGACAAGGTAATATGGGACGCACTGAAATTTACTCGTCTGATAGTTTGGCTTATAACGTGAAGACAAATCAATCGATGTACTTTGTGGAAGGGTGAATGGTATTTTAACTCCGCGCTGTTGAGTACACAAATTTTCCCACTACCAGGTACAGTGTGTTCGCGCCGTCTAACTCATTCGCCTTTACCATCCTGCACATTCGTTAATCATTAGTCATAGGTCTTACCTCAAGCACAAGGCGTCATAGTGTGTTGTACGGAAGATTCTAGTAAAATGGTGCATTTGAGACATTAACTGGTCATACTTTGAAATGTCAGCGGGTTATAAAATATCCTGCAGGACTTAGTTCAGGATGACTC